ATCTTCTCCGTGTGGCTGCCTTGTGATTGAACAGCCACAGAAGAAAAAGGTTTTTCCAAGGCTCCCTTCCCTTGCCGGCACTGGCTAGACAGGGGAGACTTGGAACACACTGATTTCTCTTTCCACATCCAAGGCTGGATGAAGTGAGTAAATTCCAGCTTTATGTGCTAACAGCAACCCTGCATCACACTGAGGTCCAAAACATCCCATATGTGAGGCTGAGCAAGCTGCCTTCATCCCAATGGCTTCATCAGCCTCCCTGGGAGCTGCAGGCAGGAGAATGTATGAACGGCATGAGGCCACCAAGGGCCCTGTCTTTTCTACTTTACCTCTTTCACCTCACTAAGTCCAGGCTTATTGATATCTTAGACATTTTAGTGCTTCCAGAACTGTCCCAAACCAGCGTGCTGGGTGCTGTTGGCTCCCTCCTCATTTTCCATTGCCACGCTTCAAAGCTCATCCCGGGAGGAGCAGTAAAACTCCGATGGGGAGTGTTCATGTTGCAGTGGTTGGCTTCTGGATTCAAAATAACTTGTTCCTTGCTTCTCCTCCCTTTTGAAGCCCTTCTTCCCCACCCTGCCACCACTGTGAATGTATTGTTAAGAAGTCAAAGGGGATCCAGGCTGTTCTGAGCTTTGTGGTAAGACCACTGCATTGCCAAAACTGGGATGTAGCCTCTGGCTTTGGAAATGTTCATTTTTTGTGGGTTTCTTGCTCTGTTTTCATGATGTGAAAGTGTGTATGTGGGGGGGAGGAAGAACAAAGAGTTCAATCAGCCATGCTTCCTTCCCTCCTGGTTTCGTAAAGGAGTTGGAATTTGGTATTTGACAAATAATAGCAGGCAGAATGCATCCATGCTGGCCTGAAGTCAGAAGAGGGCTAAAAGTCCTGGAATGCAGATGGTTATGATGCTAGTATCAGTTTCATGAGGGGTGGAAAATGCTTTGAAGCAGGCTATTTGTGTCTGAATAAACCTGGCTTTGTCATTTCATGCTCAGCCTGCAAAGTTGTGTCCTGTTCCCCTCTTGGCTTGCTTTTCCCTGGGTTTGACCACTTGGCCAAAGACAGCACGGAGTCCCTAACGAGGCAGAACTGATGTGCAGATGCAAAAATAACCTGGGGTTTGACCAAGATGTTTCCAGCTGGGTAGAACTGAAACCAGCTTTAGTGCTTGCTCAGCATCGGAGCCAAAATCTTTACACAACCATTGAACAGATTTGGTCCCTCGCTCTTTGATGCCGGATTCTCTGGTGGAGTGGGATGCATGTGACCTGGCTTTGCAGCCACTGTGTCCTCCAGGAAAGGGCTGTCAGGTCAGAACTCCTTGTCTTTTGAGCAGTGACATGACTTTGTCAGGGTAGGAGTGTCTTTAACACATGGGCACCTTTGCATCTGAGTATTTTTTTGCCTTAACCCTTTAATTCGCTGGTGTTCAGGGGGACAAAATTCTAAACTCGTCACCCACTGACAACATTCACCCCGGGACAACGTGTGAGATGAAGTGTTTTGGCTGTGTGTTTTGCATCCTTCAAGGTGGCACAGGGAGGATGGAGGGCAGGGGATGAATGGCAGCATTCAAAGGGTGGTGAAGAAAAGCCAGTTTGTTCCTTCTTACGTAAGCTGGACCTTCGCAGCGCCCGCGGGGGAAAGCCGGTGACTTGGCAGGGCGCTGCGGGGCTGTGGTGCACAGCGGTGCCAGCGGGGGTGTGGGGTGTGGTGGCTCAAAAGAAAGTCGTATTGCTCGAATTTAAGGGCTTGCCCACGCTGGTCTTGCTCATAAACCCTCTAGTCAAGGGCAAGAGGGATAAATAAAGCTGAATTTAATAAAGCCATTGATACCTGGATGTTTGAGAGATGGGGAGGATGGGTGGTGCTGGCTCTGGAGCTGGCACAGTGCAGCTCTTCTCTATCCTTGATTCAATCAAATTTGGGATCCAGCTCAGACTGTGCAGGCTGAGGTCTGTCCTTGCAGGAGTTGGGAGCATTTGCCCTGGGGGCTGTGGCAGAGTGCCAAGCCATGCTGGGAGTATTGTGGGAGAGCCCTGTGCTGGGATGGGAGGGATGCTGGGATGGGAGGGATGCTGGAGAGCCCCGTGCTGGGATGGGAGGGATGCTGGGATGGGAGGGATGCTGGAGAGCCCCGTGCTGGGATGGGAGCGATGCTCGGCTGCGCTGCCTGAGCCTCTCCTCGCTGCCGTGTCTGTGCGAGGCTCCGCGGGAGCCAGGGCGTGCAGCAGCTCCGCCGTGGCCCATTCTGAGACTCGTTTTGGGTTCTGGGCTCTGACAGACGCCGCTGCCCGGCTCCTGCGGCAGGAGTCCGGCTCCTCCTGCCGCTCTCAGCAGCAGCTCCCGTCACGGATGCCCTGCGAGGCGATGAGCAAAGCGCCACTCAAACCCTCAGCGCAGCTCCCGCGCTCTGCAGGAGCTTTTTTGTGCAACCTGTGCTGCAGGTGAGCCTATCTCTGAGGCTGGAAAATTAATTGCTGCCACTGAATACTAAAGGCTCGGGGAAACCTCATAGAAGGAGGTAATTTTAAAAAACAGAATCATAAGCCATCCTGAGTTGGAAGAAACCTGCAAGGATCATCGAGTCCAAATCTTAGCCCTGCCCAGGACACCCCGAAGAGTCACACCAAGGGTGCTAGTGGAGAACGCTGCAGTAAATTTAGCAGACTTGCCCAGAGGGGAAGTAGGGCAAGTAAATGTGGCTGTTCATCAGTCTTTTCTCACTATTTACGCTTCAGAACTATTGCCTTTTATACCTGCCTTTTCAGGTATTCGTGTCCTTGGCATCTGTGCCGTGAGGTCTGGACCTGGCCCATTGCATTTGGAGAGAGACAGTGACCCCTCAGGCTCTGGTGGGATGCAGGGCAGCAGGGATTTCCCTTGCAGGGAATGATTGTAGCTGTGAGCCCTTCGGTGAGCTCCTCAAGCTGCCTCCTGTTTGTCCTCCATAAAAGGGGAGTGGTAGACACCTGTTTCCAGAGAGCTCCTGAGTCCGAGCTGTGTCCACAGGAGGTCTGGAGCTCTCCAGGAGGAGCAGTGACCTGGGTGGGAGTGTTGGGGTAGAGTGCTAGCGGTGAAAGCCATGTAAAAGTGCCTCAGTCCAGGCATGTTTTACCATGGGGAAGCTGTTGGCATGAGAGCCGTATTGATTCAAGAAGTAAATATGCTTTGGACAGCCCAAGGGCTCATATGGGTCTGTGAGCAAAAATCTGCCACAGAAATGCAGAGGACCCAGCTCACCATCCTGTTCTGTTCCTGACTGGCTTCCAGAGGAAGAGGAGGCACAGAGAGTACCATAAATCTGAACAAAATGTCTTTCTTCATCTGGGGAAATGCTGGGCATTCTTGAGCAGAGTGTGCTCAGCCAGCTGAGATGCCATTAGCAGGGCTGGCACTTTTCACCTGATGAAGGGGTTTGTAATTTTGTCTCAGATTCTCAGATTGTGCCAGTATCAAAATACTCCCAGTCTTGCCCAAACCATGTGTTCAACAAATGAGGGAGACTTTTCCTGACCCACCAAGCAGTGCCTTCATGAATTCCATGTTTTATCCCCCAGGCAGATGGATCACACACAGCTTTGGCAAAGCCACATTTTGTGGCAGAGAAGCTGCAGTTTCAGTGTTTATTTCTCTGTCATTGTAGGAATTCAAAATGGATGGAACAAAATGCCATTGGGACTGACTCTTGTTTTATTTGGACACTACACAGGTCTCTGTGGAAAACATGGGAGGAGTGCAGGGGACAGGGAAGAGCCAAGAAGATGTGTTAAAAAGGCAGTGGTAGCCAAAAGAATGGTCAGCAGGGAGTGGATCAGGGCTGGGAATGAGTTTCTGAAGGATAAAAAGGGTGGGGGGAGTGGAGGGCATCTCTAAACAAAATGGGGATTCTGTGGAGTGGGTAAATGCTGAGGGGCTGCTGAGAAACCAGGTGCTGCAGCATGGAGACCTGTCCTTTCTGCTTTTCCAGGGGGGAGCAGGGGCTGAAGTAAAGGAGAAAAGAAATAATTGAAAAATTAGGTGGTGAAAGCTTATCATAATGCAGCAGGCAAAATCCAAGGGGTTCTGATACAGGATGTGGGGACAAATTATCTGAAATTCCTGTGTCTTCATGAGTGGTGCTGGGCATTGTGGCCTTGGACCAAACAGTTATTTAGAGCAAAGTAAGAAGAGTGGTGGTCTAAGGTTCTGCTTGCCTGTGCTGGGGGGGAAAGCTTGCAGCTCTATCAGCTGTCAGTCTCTGCAAGCAGGGTAATGTCCATGGGGGGTGAAAGTGCTGGAGAGATGGTGCCAGTGACCTTTCACATGTTATTGGGCACTTCTGTCTGTCTCCAGTTTTTCTTTCCCTCAACCTTTGCATGCTTTATTGATTTCTGACTCTGTGTATTTTGTGTCTTGGGTAAATCAGAAGTATTTGTCACCTAGAATGATCATGCTGAGAGGATAAAGCTTTTTACAAAGCCTTTGGTGACCTTTAGCTAATGATAAATCAGTGAACTGAGTGTATATAAGCATTTCCCAAGTGCTGGGTGCTGTGCACAGTGGGGACCCCACCTTGGCATGACACAGCTACCCAGTGGTAGTCTGGGCATGCAGGTCTTCCGAATAAAGGCTCTTGCTTCAGGTCACAATGACCTAGATTTGTGTTTCTTTATTATCTTCCCTTGTATTTTATGTATTGTGAATGTGAATGTAGTGTATGTGAAGCCAGGTGTCAGAACCAACCCACAGCTCCGGGCAGGTGAACACATGTGAAATGTTTAAACAAACACATTTTTGATGGAGTGAAATACATGCAAGTGATGGCATTCTGCTTCCTGTCATCAGAGGATCATTTTTATGGTTACAATTCCCACATTGCAATGGATTGTCAATTCCAGGACATTTCTCCTGATTAACCCAGTTTGCTTGTTAGTTCTCCTGAGCAAACCCCTGTCGTGTCCCAGGCTGGTTTGTGCTGTGCAGGCCCCAGGTGCTGTGGGTGTGGGACAGTCAAGCTCTGCTGGTGGCTGTGGATGTCCCTCTGTCCCTCTGTCCCTCTGTCCCTCTGTCCCTCTGTCCCTCTGTCCCTCTGTCCCTCTGGCTGTCCATCCCTGAGCCTGTTTGCTTTGTCCCTGTTCCAGCTGCCCCCAGCAGCCACAGAGTGAACCCAGGCATGGCTGCACCCTCTGGTTTCCACTGCACAGATCCAGCCCCCAGTTAGTGGGGCTGGGAGTCAATCCCAAAATGATGGAATTGGGATCCTGTTGGGTTTCTGCTTTAGATGACTGAAGTCTGAACTTCCTGGATTTCTTGCATTCTCAAAATTGCATCAGGTTTCCTTCGAAGCCCTGCCAGTTGTAACAGGAGAGAGAGAGTACAGCCTATGGTGGGCAGTAAAATTTGTAGTGTTATTCCACAGATACTCCCAGACCAGACAGAAAGAATTCTTGGATTGATTTGGCATCATACACAGATTTTCCTGGGGAAAGTGAGGGTGCTGGGAGCAGCCTGAAAACAAAAGCTCTTTGTAAAACTGAGACAAACTGTGTTTCTCTTCCACCACACAGCACCAGGTACAGGCAGAGCAGCAGGATGAAGCTGCAGTGTGGTCAGGGCCCCTCATGTACCAAAATTGGGTCAGGTTGGGACCAGGTCCTCAGCACAGCCTTGGCTCCAGGCTACAGCAAGATTTTTGGGAGCGAACCTGTTTAAAAGAAGAAGCAAAGCATCTTTCATCAGCAAGTGAGAATGTGAATTCAAGATGTCAGGGCAGGTTCCAGATGCTGTTGCACTTTGCATTTATTACATTTTTTAGAGCTTAGCAAAAGGTCAGTGTGCTTGGACACAGTTACAGGGTTTTGGAAAGTCTGCAGGTTTGGGATTGGTGCCTTTCACTTTATTTTCAATAAGAATACTGCCTGCTTGCCTTTGGAATTGAGACACCAGTGATAATTTAGCTCATATTATTTTAGGCTAAAAAAACAATGAGGGACAAGTTTTTGGGGGGTGGAGTGGGTTTGCGTTATTTTTTCTCTCTTTGTTTTTCCTCCAATATTCAGGAAAAAGCTTTCAGTATACATTAGGCTGCTGCTGTCAGTGCTAACTGTTTTCTTTTTTTTGGCCATACCGATTGGAAGGAAATTTCCAATACAGCTTAGTTGCCAGAAATGGATTCTTTGCTGGAAAATTTTTGTTAAAATATTCCGACTTGCTCCTTGCAGGGATGCCACTTAGTGCAGGAACACACAGCAATTGGCTGCCTCGTTCTTAACTCTGAGTTTGATCTTTTCATTATTTTTGTTGGGGTTTTTTTTGCTGGTATTTGGTTTGGACAGGCCTGTTCCCACACTATGGAGATTGTGATGCCACAAGCAAGGTCTTTCTGTGGGATCCTTTCTTGGCCCTCCTAGAGATGTATGTTTAGTGGGAGTGGAGTGCAATGGCAGGAGGAATTCCACCAGGATGGAGTTAATTAGCTGGTGAAGGACCAACATGTGGGCAGGGCCTTGGAGGCAACCTGGGTTTTCTCTCCTCTTCTGATCTTCTTGGATCAAAGTTGGGACTCGCTGACCCTGGAGGTCCTTTCCAATAAAAATGACTCTGTGATTCTCCCTTCTGGGAGTTATTAGGTGCTATATATTTGCCTCCAGTATCTCATGTGGTGCCTTCCAAGTAAAAAATGGGGAAGTCACACGTGTTTGGCTTGATCTGCCTGACCCTGGCAAGGCATTTCTGAGGCCATTGTGCTACTGCTGCTCCCTGCCCACAGCTGAGGCTCAGCCCTGCTCACACAGTCACCCACAGACAGCAGGAGCTGCACTGAGATTTGTTTTTCTTCTTTTCTTGTTTGGTCAAAAGCGACAGGGGATTTTTTTCCCCCCTGAAAGAACAGCAGTGTTTGGTTTGAGAAAGGATGAGGTCAAGAAGTGGCAGGAAAAGGCTGTCTCATTGTGTTTTTTGGTTACTTGATTGCTTTTTTGCACCTGCACCAGACTTCCACTGGTGAGAACTGGGGTTTTGCTGGGCTCCCAGAACGGTGCTGTCGCAGAGGAAACATCTTCCACTCTCCAGTCGCATCCTGTGTTTTCCTTCTCACTCTGTCATCACTTTACAGAGCAAAACCCGAGCTCACGTTGCACATTTCCACAGCCATCCACCCTTGTGCTCCCGGCTGCTGCCAGGATGGGAAAGTGGCAGCCACCAGCAGCAAAGGGGTTAACTGGCAGGTGATTTTAAGGACTCTCTTCCCATTAGTGATGTACCTCTTGTTTTTCTCCAGTCTGTTCTCTGCAAATAAAGAGAAATGCTGCAAAATGAGAAATTTAAGAATACAAAAGAAGAAAGGAAGAATAAAAGAATTTTGCAAATGAAAGGCTTGGGAAGAAAAAAATAATTAAGAATTAAAAAGGAAGAAAGAAGGAAACAGAATTCAAAGGTCATGTTTCTGGGCTGTTTCAATATCAGTTTAATTCAAATAAATTCCTGTGTGTGTGTGTGTGTGTGTGTTGGAAGTGCCTTTCCATTGCCTTCCCCAAGATCAGAGACCACCAGGAATGTAATTGGGATACAAGGCTGAGAGGCAAAGGATTTTCCATTCTGCTCTGCCCTTCAGTGAGTCACTTACCTGCTTGATGCCTCCAGTTTCACCGAGGTTACAACTGCTGACTTATTTCTACTGATTTGGAAACACTCTTGGGCCAAAGAGATACAGAGAATTCCAGAGAACTCGTTTTAGGTTAATGGCTGCAACAATTGGATGGAATCAGTTCTTCCCTGCCCAGGGCTGTGGTTCCATGTCAGGTTAAGCAAACAGCTCAGCTGCTGCTGCAGCGCCTGCAGGGAGGGACTGACCCATTAAAAATCTCATTTTTCTGGACACCTTGTTCAGAGGGTTTAGTTTATGCTGGTTCCCCTTAATCTGGATCACGTGCAGTTGATAGGCTGGCGTGCTGCAGTTGGAACCTTTCCTGCTGAGCTTTTCAGGGATGTGCAGTACGTGCCTTGTATTGGCTCCAGGGCACTGTGCACAAGATTTTCTGCATGCAAAGGTCTCCGGATTCTAATAACTTATTGGGCAGGTTGATGGTGAGCTGACATCTGTCCAGTCCTATTGGCACCTCCGTGGTTTTAGTTTTGATTTAGGAAACTGCAATGTGAAACATGCTTTTTTCCTGCCAATTAATTTTTTTCCTAGGGTGTTGTTGGGGTTTTTTTCTTTCTTTTCCTATTTCTGCTCTAACTTTGCCTGCTCTGCCTATTCTAAAGGCTAAAATAGGTTAGAACCTCTTCTCCTTCCTGCTCCCACACAGGCACATTTTGAAAAGTACCACAGCATCAAATTTGCAATCTGTGCAGTTTGAGTGTGTCAGATACTCCAGTCTCTAACACCATCTATTAGGGCTGTGTTTAGTCTAGCAGTATTTGAATAAATTTGAGCTGGTGGGAATGTGAGAGGACTTTAGAGATTGCCGAAAAAGAAAAGTTATTCCAAGAAAACCCATATACTCTCAGGAACCCCAGAGGCAGTAAGAGAGAAAAGAGAAATAAGTTATCTATAACCCAGGCAAATAAAATATTCTTATTATAACTACATGGGCACTATGCCAGCTCTCTGCAAGCAATATTTCTCTTTGCATCTTGCTTTGCCAGTGAATTGGACATCTATTATTTCATGATTTCAGCAGGAAACATAGCCTGAGTGATGACTTTGGTACCCAGCCCAGTGCTACTGTGCACTTGCTGAGCCCTGAATTGTGGAAACGCTTCCAGCTGGTCTCTGCTCCTTCTCCAAGAGTGTGTGTGAATTGTCAGTGCTGCTTGGTGACATTTTCTAGGGACACTGGGTCCTCCAGCAGACAGCTCTTCCCATGATGTTCAGGACTCTGCAAGGATGGAGATGGAAGCTCCTCTTTCCCCATCTCCTGCTCCTTTCCTTTCCCTACCTGGGGACCAGTTTGGGAGCTCCCTCAGGAACATGGGGGCAGCTGGAGGACAGAGCCCACGTGCAGGGATGTGGCAGCCCAGGGCTGGTCCCCAATGCCCAGCTCTCTCTGCCAGATGATTTTGGTCAGTTATATCTAGAAACTGTGGTGGAAGCAGCCTATTTTAAAATGATACCTTTTTTTTTTTTTTTTTTCCTGTCAAGATCCTGATTTTGTAAACAAGTTTATTTGCCCTTCCTACCCAGCTCTGGGGTTATCCACCCACAGACCAGAGCCCGAGCATGGTTACAGCTGCCTGCCCAGATGCTCACTAAGAATTGTTTGCTGACAAACTTCAGACCTGCAGTTACTCAGAGAAATTGTTCAGCAAATAGTTTTGAATAATGAACCCCTTTGAGAAATTTGAGTTGTTTTGCAGGCAGATTCCAGACAGAGAACATGCTCAGGAAATCATAGCTTTCAGCACATTTTCCTCCCTGTTTGCCAGCCTGTGGAATTGGCAAAGAATCCCTTTCTGATACCTTCACCTCAGATTAAAGTGCTCCACCAGCCTTGTGTGATGCAGGCTGAGGGTGCCCACTGCTCTGACACAGCTCAGGCTCTCTGGGCCCCCAAATCCCTCCACATCTCCTCCTTGATGGTGGTCTCACTTGCTTTATTCTCCCAATCCAGCTTTCCTGGAGAAAGGCAGCAGCGATGTCTGCATCCATATATGTTACCAGAGAGCATCAGGGTTTGGAGAGCTGGACCCTGCCTGGTGTCACCCATTTTGGCCAGTATTGCCTCTGTGATCTGCAAAACCAGCATCTCAGATTGCTGCAGGGCCTTTGAGCAAAGGGGCTGTGGAAGAGCAGAGTCAGGAGAGGTCCCTGTGAGAATTCATGTCCTGAGGGCTGCAAGAAGAGGAAAAAGCAGCTTTTGAGGTCGAGTATCTGTAGGTTCCTTCCAGATCCCACCTGCCGGCAGAGCCCAATGCAGGATGTTTTATAGCTGGGGAAGGAGAGCTTTTGGCAGGGAAGGCCAAAATGAGTGACAGCACTTTGCAGCTGAGTCTCTTGGTCCCTGTGTCCCATCAGGGGGCTGATCACTATGGAGTAAAAAGGTTATTAAAAAGATGGCAAAATATTGCCAGCAGGGAATCATGAGGGCAAGGAGCTGAGGAACTGTCTCTTTTTAGGGCAAGTGGCTTTCAGCCACCTGCTTTGGACTCTGCATCTGGGCAAAGCAGTGAGTGATAGAGGGCAGAACCTGGCAAGTAAAGGACACAGGATTCCAGCCCCTCAAAGATTCCCTGCAGTGAATGCAACATCTTCAACATCTGCACTTTTTCCACCACAAAGGGGACATGAGAGGAGGAGGGGGGAAAGTCAGACATGGCATGGAGGGGTGTGGGGGAGCCACACTGACAAAATGGTTGGCAGAGGTTGTGGATGCCCATCCATGGGAATATTCAAGGACAGATGCTTTGAGCAACATGGTCTAGCATGTGGCACCTTCCCCATGGCAGGGAGGTTGGAACCAGATGATATTTAAGGTCCTTTCTGACCCAAACCAGCCCATGATTCTATGAAATGGCCTGTTGTCTGTTTTGGAGCTGCCAGAGGGGGAGGATGGCAGTGCTGCCAGGGCTGAAGGCTGGAGACATCCCACGTGCTGCACGTTCACTTGACCCGTGCCTGTCGCAGGGAGCCAGCGCATCCCTGCAAACACGAGTGGCTCTGCCCTCAGCGGGACCGGTGTTTGCATATTTGAAGCTCTTTGGCCACAATCTGTCAGCGGGAGAGCAGCAGAGGAGGAAACAGCTTCAGACGCTTGTACGCAAATAGTTCTGCCCAAAGGTAGGACAGGAATACAAATCACCTCCTCTCTCTCTCTCTCTGCTGGGCTCTGTGCGCTTACATTTGCAACTTCTGCATATTCAGCTGCGTTTGAAACGCTCTCCAAAAATCCCTCAGCCCCTTCCCAAAGAGCCGAGTTGGGAAATTCCCTTTCTCGGGATGTTTTGCCACCTAGTGCCCAGCTGGGAAATCTCATCTGTCTGCACCCTGGGGAGGCAAAAGCATCAGAACTTTTTTGGGAGACCATAAATATTTTAGGAGGACGAAGTGATGCAGGAGCCTAGATTAAGGTATTTTGGTGGGTCAGAATCATTGGGAGCCAACAGGGCATATTGGTATCTCATTTCTGACAATAGGCTTCAAACTCTAGAATGTTCCACTGCTATCATCCTGTTGTACCTCTGAAAAGGTGATGCTGGAAAGAGTGAAGAAAGGAGAGGAGCAAAGAGCTGCTCTTTGGGTCTGTCTGGGTTCTCTCATCCTTCAGAGAACAGCTTGCTCCTGCTGTCCAAGTGCTTTGTGGATTTGGAGCTGCTGCTGGAGCTCTGAAGAAGAAGATCTCTGCCTTGTTCCCAGCTGGCTGGGAGCACATCTCACTGCTGCTGCCCTGCTCGGGAGATGCTGGTGATGGACAGGACAAGGCTGGGGGTTTGTCAAATAACAAGGGAACAACGACACTACTGACCCAGATAGACCCGAGCCCAGAGCAAACCCTGCCTGCCTGAAGCCAAATAACATCAGCTGGGAAGCCAGACCCACCGTGGATTCTGTGTCTCTCTCTCCCCCTCTCTCTCTTTCTCATGGCTATGAGAGGTGGCTGATGATGGAGAAATGCCAATTGGTGGAGAAGGGTGAGAAGGCAGAAGGCAGAGATGGAGCTGAAGAATCCCAGGTGAGCAAAGCCTCCAGAGCATCTGATTTAGTCAGTGTGCCAGCTCTCACTTGCCACATGCCCTGCAGACAGGGGATGAGCAGCACTTCCAGCAACTTCTGGCATGGGCATTTGGCATTTCTCACCATCACCAGGTTTCACTGAGAAAGGGAGACTTGGAAAGCCACTGTCAGAAGAGAGTTCCTGCTGCTGTGAGGGGCAGCCTTAAAACAGCACTTGGAAACTGAGGAGAACAAACCCGCAGTGCC